TTGGGCTGAGCATTGAATAAGACATAAGTGCCTTTCACTGAGGCACTAAGGCACTAATTAAGTATATAGGGACATGGCTGAAATTGAGTTGCCTAGCGACGGCCGCGCTTCCAAGTTGTTTGCAAGCAGTTGTGGTTTGCTTGGCGACTGCTCAATCCAACTTCTAGAAGAAACCAGAGACCCCCCCCACATCGATGCAGAAACGCAACTGGGCAGGATTCGACTCTGGAAATTGCCTGGTGGAAAGGGAAGTTGCAATGGAGTTCTGGTTCGGCGTTGGTTGCATGGATTCGGAGCATGGATTCCCAGGGCCCCCTTGAATGCTCAATTCGCAGGGGCTATTTCATGTCCGAAAGCCAGGAGTTGCTTTCAGAGCTGCTTGGACACCTGGAGATCGAGCTGGACTTGGGATCGCCTCTTGGGCCCTGCTTCAGTTGGGAACGCTGTTCACGCGGTGAAGCGAGCTGGAAGGGGGGTTGGAGTAGGGGAGGGGGGCGAGCGAGCGAGTGGGGACCGGGACTGAGGACTGCCAAGAAGTCAAGGAGCTCACTGAGGCGAAGAGCTGGGTGGCAGCTGCTTGTGAGCTGGGTGCTGGGGTGCGTCTCAGCAGAGTCAGAGGTGTGGTGATGTTGGAAGTGGTTTCTCTTGATGGCTTTTATGATGTCTTGGACTCCATGAGGTTTCATACAGATTCTGCTCTTTCTTACTGATGTTATTTCCAGGTGATGCATGATGCATGATGCTGTTCCGCAACAGTATGGCGGAGTTGGGAAGTGACGTATACAGTGGTTTGCACATTCCAAGGGTCCTTGGAACTTCCAAGAGTCCGATGCTAGTACCGTAGCTCGGGCGGAGGCGCCCGACCTCGATCCAGCGTGGGCGTGGCCGGAGCCGCTGCCCCGGCCCTCGTTGTTGAGCGTTTCCCACCATCGGCAGGTTAGAAGAGAGAGCTCGGAGCTTGAACATGCAGCTGGACGAGCTGACTGGGCAGGCTGGAGAGAACTAACTCGGAACTCGGAGGCTGAGCTGCGCAGATTGGTGACTGCAAGAGACCCCTGCCTTGGCAGACTGCTGCCTTGCATTGTAATCAACAGATCAGACAGTTCAACACGGCTTTTTCCGCAAGCACCTTCCAGCCCGGGTTGGACTGGGTGTTCATCAAGAAAACGAGGAACCTAGGTGTCACTACTTTTTGTAATTTTATTGAGTAGGTATAGGTTCAATGATTCAAGTTCAAGTAGCACAAGCAACATTTCCACATTCTTGCAAATCAACATCCACAGAAGTTTCTTTCCAACAAAGCTTTGGGCTTGGCCACCAAGACGAATAAACATTGGGGATGCTGCCGTGAAAATAACATGTAGGACCTCAGCCCCCTTCAGCGCAAAAAAAGCAGCATGTTTTTTTAAATGCTGTTTGTGTTTGGAAGACCTGGACCTTGGTTCCAAAGAATCAATTTTAGAATGTGAGGCTGATGCTGGAGAAATTTTTATAGAGTAAAATCAGTCGTGATACAATGGCTTTGAACCCCAGCACTGGTTTATTTTGTTTTCATTATCTTGGATAGTCAGGTGTTCCTAGGTCATCAGCCATGAAGCTAATGTAGGAATACACAAGCATGTAATCAGGCGAAGGAATTTAGGGTTAACATAGCAAACCTCAAAGTAGCTAGTGTTTTCACTTTTTGATGTTGGACTCCAGCAAACCGTTTTGGAGTCAACTCAGGTGTCAAGCCGTCCGGCAGGATACGAACCTAGGTCAGAGACAAATCTTTTTTGGGTGGAGGTTGAAGATACACATATTTTTATTTTACTTGATTGCTGCATCCCCAAGCCAGCCCCACAAAAGCCACCCAGCCCAGCCAGAAAGCTTTAGAATAAGAACTGGTTAGCAGACTGAAAGAGGTATATGTTGCAGTCTAGTTCTAGGGTGAGTTTAGCGGTAGATTGTATTTTATTGCAATTGTTTTTCCATATTAGCAATTGTCTTTCTAATAAAAGCCACCCAAAACACAGACACAAGCACAGCACCCCACACAAGCCATGCCAGTGCTTCCCAACCCTACCCAGTGAAACCTCCATGAAGCATAGCATGAAAATAGAATGTGGGAAGGCATGGTCAGAGACTAGTCTTTTGTGGGTGGAGGTTGAAGATGTGCAGATTCTATTTTTTTTAATTGCTGCATGGCACCAAGCCAGCCCCCCACAAAAGCCACCCAGCCCAGCCAGAAAGCTTTAGAATAAGAATGGGTTAGCAGACTGAAAGAGGTATATGTTGTGGTTCTAGGGTGAGTTTAGCTTTGGATTGGCAGATTTCAGCTTCATTGCAATTGGGCATTTGGTGAACCGGCAGTCTTGGGCATTTGCGTTGAACAGACGTATCATAGGTCAAGATCAGGGTGGAGTGGGAGCCGACGTCTATCATAAGGATTTTTTGCCTTGGGGTTGCTCATTTTATGTTCATAAAGTTGCCTCCCTTGAGGTATTCTGATAGCTTAGTCAGATTTTAAAGTACCTTGGCTACCCCCTCATAATTACTTTATTTTTGGGGGTGCTGACGCCCCCGGTGGCCCGGAGCCCCAATAATAAACTTCCAACAGCAAACTATCTCCCCACACCTTTTGCAAGGTTCGGGAGCACAGTAGGATGCTGTAAGCCCATTCTAGTCCACCACAAGTCCTAAAAAAAGGAGCGATTGGCAGTTCGAAGGGCTCCCAACAAGTCGATTCCAAGAGGTTCAACGGTCCGAGACTCGCGCCGCGCTGCGCCTTCGCGCGCGCCTTCAGGCCCGGAGGCTCACGGAGCTGATCGGTGCTCAGGCCGTCTGGGTGGAGGGTGGAGGGTGGGTGGACGCCTTTTTTTTCGTTTGGGATCTCGGATGACTTGGATGACTCGTCCTAGACTAGGCCAAGTAATGATATCTAAGCACCCAGACACAGCGGAAGCAGTGCCGTGGGCACAGTCCATGGTTCAAAGCCTACTTTGCCTACATGGGTTGGGATTTTTGTCCCCAGCTGCCTTCGGAGTTTCCGCAGGCCACGGACAAATCATGAAAAAACCATCAATACATGCAATATATAGGCAATAGGGTGCCCAAAGAGAGGGCATAGCAGAAATGCGTGCGTGTGGCAGAATCCAGCAGCTCGTGCCACCTTGCTTGGCACCAGCATGAGTTTGCGGCCAGGTTCAACTGGAGGTTGCACAGGAAAACCCTTGACCTTCGTGTCGCAGACCAGGATCACCAAACACAGTTAAACTTACTTGACGATCATTGGGTTTGAAAGATGGGATGTGTATATAAGTTTTGGAGTTGTGGCCTGAGCCCACTGGCTATAGGCGATGGCATGTTAAAACGATCCGGAGAGAAACCAGGTTACTTGTTCATAATTCATATCATGTCTAAGATACGCCCGTTTGCCGTAGAGGAAATGATAGGAAATGTCTTTCACCTCAGAGCAGTGTTTTGGGAGGACCCTCAATTATCTCAATTGCGCTTCGGGGCAGTACCACATATTGCTACCTTCCAGCAGGCAAAGTTGCAAAAAAAACATGTCATGGGTGGTTGTGTCACCCATCCTGCTTTTCAATTGCCCGAAATGCGCACTGCCGACCTCGTTCCAGGGGCCCTCCGACCCGATGGCACACATGGCGCATTTGCTCGCGGCCCATCAGAGCGAGCTGGACGCTGTTCAGGCGGGTCGGCCCGAACTCCTCCGCGGCGAAGACCAAGCGCAGTAGGGCCGTTCAGCGGCGGAGTACCAGGGCCAAGCGCCTACGTGGTTGAGTGGTTCTTGCGCCTGGCTCGGGGCTACAGCTACGTGTAGCCCAGAAACCCGACGCCCAGTGAGTTCAATGCCCTCCAGGAGCGCCTCAACGCCTCAGAGGAACAGCTCAAGGCTCAGGAGGCCGAGTGCTGAGGCTGAAAGCACGGTTGGTGTCATTCAGATACGCTGACGGGGTGAGAAATCGGACGGGCTGGCACGTTCAGCACACCACAGGCCCTGGCAGCTCACACTCACAATATCTTCAATATAGTTACTAGTAACTAGTAACAGTTACTTGCTGTATCTTGCTGTGGTTTGCTGGAGGATGTCTATTTTCAAAAAGACAGGAAAGGCATTGGGTTTGCAGAGTGGACCCCAAGAAGTTGCACAGGCATCAGGTTCTAGTACATAGATGGCATACCTGTTCATCATCATCATCATCATCATCATCATCATCATCATCATCATCATC